TAATGGGGCCTTGAATTTTTTGTTGTACGTATATAGACGTAGTAATATAATGGACTCTGTATAACGTATTAGAAAGTGAGAGCCCATGTCGATAACTATAAGATTCGAAATTTAGTACTTCCATTTTTCGTTCTTTCCATTCACGCAGGCCATGCTGTGATTTTCAATTCACACGGTTTTTACAAAATAGAAAAGACAAAAGATTTTGCATTAAAGTAATTATAGGGAAGTCAAAGGTTGTGTTCTGGCGTTTATTGGGACCACTGTAGGAACAGCAGCAGAAAGTGTACTTTACCCTGGGAAGCGACAAAATGGGTGTTGGTCTTTTGGTGTATGGACTCATTTAGAAACGAACCAAAATGCCTATCAGGTTATAGGACTCGCTTGCCACCCTTAATTTATCCGCTTTGGCCTTTGCGGATGGGCCGGCCTTGCGATTGCGCCATTTGAGTGTTTAAGGTGCCACTTTAATATTGGCCAAAAGTATGCGTTTAGTTAATCACTTTATTAAATTTAAAGTCTTTAATTTTTTATTTTTTATTATAAGATTTTTAGTTCTTAAATTTAAAATTTTAAAGATTCTAAACTTTGAATTAACAGAATTCATTAACTTTTTATTAAAGTGAGAATAAAATATTTATATAGTTAATTTTTAAACATTAAAAATATAATAATTTAGTTTCAAAAGTTTAAAAATTTAAAAAATTAGCAAACTAAAAAGAATTAATAAATGACTTTCTTACATGCACTAGAATAGTATTAGATATTTATAATCAAATTGAAAAAAAAATTTGACTAAGATTAAAGAAAATTTTTTAGTTAACATAGAAAATTCAAGAGACTAAAAAAATATAGTTATAATTTTTTTCTTTAATTTCAGTCAAATTTCTTTTTTTAAATTGAGCTAATCACTCGATTTAATTATAGATAATTAATAATATTCTCATATATGTAGCAAAATCATTCACTAATTATTTTTAATTTATTATTTTTTTTAATTTTTAAACTTTTAGAACTAAATTGTAAATATTTTAGAGGACTGATTTTGTAAATATTTTATTTTTACTTTAATGAAGAGTTAATGGATTCTATTAGTTTAAGGGTTAAAATTTTTAAACCTTTAAGTTTAGAGGCTCAAAACTTCATAGGGTAAGGTAAGGAGTTAAAAACATCAAATTTATTAAGGTGAAGGGCTAAATACGTAGGTTGGCCTTCTGAATATTTAAGGTAGTTCTGTCCTTTTTCTTTTTTTGTTTAAGAATTCTTCATATATTTAGTAACTAGGGGAAATTCTGGATGGATTGTGTGCTAGAGTTGGTTTATTCAATTATTGGGGGTGAGTTATAGATTAGTTGTGACATAGAGTTGGTTCATTGAACTTAGCCAAGAATTAGATTGGTCAACTTGGCCATGGTTCATGGCCAACTTGATTTGGTGATGGCTCTAGGTTGAGTAAACTCAACCATATATGTCCCATGGTTGACTCAGCTCGGTGACCCAAGGTCGGCTAGATCTTAAAAATGTTAAAAAGTAATTTAGCTCAATTGTGACTTGGGTTTAGGTTGACTTAATTGTGACAAAGAGTTGGTTGGAAAACAATTTAGGACCAAGACAACTTGGACTATGACTTGGGGTTAGGCTTAATTGGTGGTTAATCTTCCGGCAACAAAAATAAAAATCGTAGACCTTAAAATATCATCTTACATGGCACCTACATGAAAACAATACATTTTTTTTGCATTAAAATCTTTCTTTGGCCAAATAAAAAGATAATTTATTCATATATAACGTGTATTTCCTTTTCCTTAAAAATATAGACATAAAACAAGACAATATGTTCATACTAACACTAAAAGCTACTCTATAATATAATTTCCAACAAAAAAATAATTTCCAACAAAACAAAACACAATATTCATCAAATGAAAATTTTAAATATGAAAAATAGTAACCAATCTAAAATCATTTCCACTTTAATTTCCACTTTGTACAGTCAACTTGTAGTAAAAAAAAAAAAAAAAAGAATAAAATTTTCATATCAAAGAACTTAGCAAAAAAGTACTAAAATGCTAAATTCCTTTGCTAAACTCAATTCTTCTTCGGCCTTTTCTGCCCTTACCCTTTCCTCCATCTAGCTTTTCATGTCAACACAAAAGATGACAGAATTGACCAAGGCACGCAAAAGTTAACGGAACTGATGAACAGACTGAAATTAAATTGAAGATGAGAGAGTAGATTTATAAATTTTAAAGGATAGTGACTAAATTGAAAGTTATAATAAAAGTAAGTGACTATTTATGTAATTTACCCAATAAACATTTAAGAATCAAAAGGAGTTAATGGGTTATATAGCTGCGTATGTGGTTTTAAAGCCCGAAAACACCTCCCTAACGTAAAAACAAAGGAAGGAAAGTAGACGTCCTGAATAACTACTAGCCAATTTTGACACCCAAAAAAAAGGGCGTTTATATCTATATTTTTTAAAAATAGTCACTTAAAAAAAATTGTGAAGTTTGAAACAACCTAAATTGTATAATACTTATCATTGAATAAAAAATAAATTTTTTAATATTAAAAGCACTTCCTTATTTAAGAGTCATATTTTATAATATAATATAATTCAAATCACAAAAAAAAAGAAAAAAAAAAAGAGATTCTAGCAAATTATATCACTTTATAACTTGTTAGTGTAATATTTTGTTGGTTTCTGTGTTAAGAGTTAAAATCTTGTTGCCTTATGAACATTTTAAAATTAAATTTTTTTAAAAAAATATAAAGATGCAACTCTTTTTTAGTATTTAAATCTTAAATTAATTAATTGACAAGTAATAATAGATAAAATAATTTATTTTGTATTTAAGTAACATAAATATTTTATTATACTATATTTTAAGGAGAAATTTTCTCATTTAATATCGCGTTAAGTGGGTTGCATTTTTTTAATTACTATAATTTTTAAAAAATTAAAAAAATAATAAAAAAACCTTCAAATCTGGATCATGTGAGTGACAAATCAATGCTGCTTCCAACCAACCCAAGCCGCGTTGCATTGGCCACATAGAAAAAGGGGAAAACTACCCCATAAACGGCTGCCAATGTAACAAAAACTTATTTTTAATCTTTTACTTTAATAAATTTATAGGTTTTAACCTTTCATCTTATACTATAACATTTTTAGTCTTTTATTTTAATAAATTTATAGATTTTAATCTTTTACTTTATATTATAACACTTTTAGCCCCTCACCCATATGAATTAAAGAAAGTAGTTCTCACTTAACATCAAGTTATAACATTCTGTTAACTCTGTTAGTTCACTGTTAACTTTGTTAGTTTACTATTAATATTTCGTTATAGAAAATATAAAATTTAAATTCAATTTTATTTGTTAGTTTCCTTAACAGAATACTAATGGAATACTAACAGTCCGTTAACAAAATTAAAAGTTAGCTAGCTAACAAAACTAATATAACGTTATAACCTGATCTTAAGTAAATGTTATTTTTTTCAATTCGTATATGTGAAGGGTTAAAAATGTTATAATATAAAAGGAAAGGTTAAAATTTACAAATTTATTAAAATAAAAAATTAAAAATATTATAATACAATGTGAAGATTTAAATTTATAAATTTATTAAAATAAACAACTAAATGTAAGTTTTAGCCGCGGGATGGTATAACATGAATTTCGACAACCACCGATCCAAGTCCGCGTCCTTGGGGTGCTCCGACTTTACAGTGGGATACAACAGTACCGAACCTGAGCAGGTACTATTCCATTTTTGGTAGATTTTTTTTTTTTTTCTTTTGACAGAGGAAATGGTTAGATTAATAAGTTAGTATCTGTTATGAGAGGTATTGAACCTGGGATCAAAAGTGCACTTCACTTGTTGTCTTTTTGGGTAGCAATGACCACCATTAAACCACACCATTGGGTCACAACAGGAGAATGCTTGGTAGAATATTAACTAATGGCTTTGT